TTTTCCAAGCGAACTGCAGCATCAGCAACGACTTCCAATAAGTCAGACAGCGATTTTAAGAAATCCAAGTCAATTTCAGCTAACATGTTTAAGCAGTTTAGCTCTTCGAGTGTTTTTTTTACAGCTTCTAAGCAATCCAGAAATCTTTTAATCATCTTAAAAACACTGTTCCATCTTGTTCGGTTGTCGAACAACAGTCCTTTGTCATGCGAAGATCCGTATATTTCGTATATTTTTCTTTTAAGAACTTCATATTGAAACGATGAATATTTCAAAAACTTAATTAGTATTCGAAGTTTCTGTAGATTTTTTTCGATATTTTCTTCATACTCAATTTCATTCTCCGAATATTCAATAAGAAACTCTCCTTCAGACTCTCCATCAGTTTCTGTTTCTGTTTCAATAATCGATTCAGTTTCTTTGTTCACAATTTTGCGACAATCTTTTTTAGCGTATATCAAATCACAAACACTCAAATGAATTGAATGATTCTGGCAGATCTGATGTGGAAACTTAAATATGGTACCCAATTTCACCATCCAACTACAGCCATCCGTAGTTTTACCTGCAATATCTTCACTATCTATACCAAATTCTTTTAATTTTTCCATTATCAAAATGTTTAATGTTTCAGCAGAACTAGGAGATGGCAATCTCATTATTCCTAAACAATACGTTCTGTCGTGATGAACATTTAAATTGTAGTATCTTCTACCTCTATTGCTACACCATTCGTCACCTGTTAGTCCAAATTTTTCTCCTTTTGCTTTCAATGCAGCCAATTCAGCGATCATTAAGTATTTGGCTTCAGCATGAAACATCTTAATTTTTTCTGAAATTGCGGACGCTGACTTAAACTATGCCCGTAATTTTCAAAAAGCATTCTTAGTGTTTCAGGTTGAGTTATGGACCTAATCGAATACCCATCAAGACCTGTCAACTTGGCAAGAAGATCATTTAATGACAAAACTGGTCTGGAACTGAATGGTTTCAAATCTATTTTCTCGCAACTTTTGACGTGTCCAATAAGGCCGTTTGTGCTGCTTCCTGGACAAGCAATTCTTTTATGACATTTTTTGCAATCTCCATACTTCTTATCATTTACCACAACTTTATTAAAGTACTTCCACGCTTCCGAAACCATTTTTTTCTATGAAAGAAAAATTATCAATTTGATAATGACCTCCCATATTTGTTTTTAATTTTATTTTAATTGTGAAAAGTTATCACATTTTAAGTTATTAAGTTATTTATTCTGATAGGTAAGTATAATTAAACATTAATTATTATTATTATTTATTTTCACTGATAACATTTTATTGCACAATTTTGCCACAATGCTCAGTGGGCCGGATTTTAGACTTATGGTGGACAAAATTATTTTGATCATACAAAATACGACACTACTTGTATAAAATGAAAGTTTTATATGTTTTATATGTTAAAAACTTACCTCGTTATTTTACGACCAGTCTTTGTTTATATTATAAATAATGATCTTGACTAAACTTTTTTTTTGTAAAGGTAAACTATTGAGTAGTTAAAATATATAAACTAATATTACATTCGCATAATATTTTAAAAGTTACTGCTTATTATATCTTTGCTTAAAAATTAAAAAATTCTTGCTTTTTATTATGCATTACATTTTATTATACCGCAATTGATTTTTGTGGATTTAAAAAAATACTAATACTAAAAAGATACTAATATACACAAAAGAGTTTTTGAAATAGTACAATGGAAAAGTATGAGCATGTTTTAATATATGGTTTTGAATAGAATAAACTTTTTTTGAGGTTTTTTTCACCATCATCGCCTGGCCCACTGTGCATTACCAATTGCTTTGCGATGTATATTAGTGTTGTTATTAAACGAAGAGAACACTTACATTTAAAACAATTTTTAAAATTACAATTTACAATTGTAAAAACCACGTAGAAATAAAATAATAATTCAATTATTTTACGAATAAAAAATTGGTATTTTCTAAAAAGTTCGTCGAAGTTTCGTCGAAGTTTCTCGATTTGTCTCGAACTCCGAAACTCCAAAAAACCGAGAAAAATCAGTCGAGACGGAGTTCCGAATGGATCCACTGATATATATATATATATATATATATATATATATATATATATATATATATATATATATATATATATATATATATATATATATATATATATATATATACATATATATATATATATATATATATATATATATATATACATATATATATGTATATATATATATATATATATGTATATATATGTATATATATGTATATATATACATATATATATATACATATATATGTATATATATATATATATATATATACATATATATATACATATATATGTATATATATATATATATATATATATATATATATATATATATATGTATGTATGTATGTATGTATGTATGTCACATACATACATTGTATGTGCGTATATATATATGTACATATGTATATATACATATATATATATATATATATTTTGGCTACAACAAGTATGATAGTATATCTCTCATGCTTTTAGAGCACAGATTACCATCTTTTCATACAATTATCTCAAACTACAGACATGCTTTTTGTAAACAGTTGATGGCTTGTTCCTTAGTAAATAATTCCATGCGTTCACTTAATCAAAATTTAAAATAATATTTTTCTTGTAAAAACTATGGACCTGGCACCTAATATGTATCTGCTGTCTGATACATATTTATAATAATAATAATAATAATAATAATATATATATATAAATAGGTAGATTGATAGATATAAATATATATATATATATATATATATATATATATATATATATATATATATATATATATATATATATATATATATTTTTTTTTTTTTTTTTAACATCTTCACTTCCAACAAGGCTGCAAGCAACCACTATAAGAGTTGGAAGTTACTGGAAGAGAAAAGACTAAAACTGTAGAGCAAGATAACGATTGACTGATGACTTAAAAGATTGCAAATTATATGAATCAGGAAAGCAAGATGAAGGAAGCGAATTCCAAAGAACTGATGTTCGAGGAAAAAAACTAGAAGAATAAGAGTTTTTGAAGCACTTAGGAACAGTCACAGAAAAAGGATGAGACTTAATTGAATGGCGAGTAACACGAGAATGAATTTTAGTAGATGGCACAAGGGACGCTAGCTCTTTAGAGCAGTGCCCATTATAGTATTTGTAGAAAAGAGAAAGAGAAGCAACATTACGACGATGTGACAAAGGTTGGAGATTGGCTGCCAGAGCAGGTCCAACTATGTTTACAATTCGTTTTTGCACCTTGTCTAAAAAAGAAAGAGCATCATTAGAAGATCCGCCCCAGATGTGGCAACAGTATTCCATACAGGGACGGATTTGAGATTTATAGAGATAGAGAATAGAATCTGGAGTAAGAAAGTGTCGAGCTCGATAAAGAGATGCAACCTTAGCAGATGCTAATTTTGCAATGGATTTGATATACGGTTTAAAAGAAAGATCAGAAGTAAGAGTTAATCCTAGAAGATGAATGGTAGATGACTCATCTAGTACATTACCATTCATAAATATAGGAAGATCTAAATTATTACGATAACGATTGGCCGAATAAAATTGAGTTTTATCTGAATTAAAGTTCACCAGCCACTGTGAGCCCCATGCTGTAGCAGAAGTGAGATCCTTTTCAAGCTCAGATACCCCCTCCAAGCAATCAGAGAGTGTAGGCTTCTTATCATGACAAGAGTAAATGGTAGTGTCGTCAGCGAATAATGCCACCTTAGATGTGAGAATATCTGGAAGATCGTTAATGTATATATATATATAAAGAGACATCAACAATACCAGGCAGTAGAAATTTATGATCGATAAAACTTTTAAATATAATTAAAAACAGTTAACTTTTGAAACAAAGTTTTAAATAAATATTAATCTGTATTAAGTTACTTAAAAGGTATCAAACTTTGTCCCAACTTAATGTTTAATATGAATTTTCCCATAACCTAAATATCAGGGTTTTTTTAGTCATTTGTAATCTTTTTTTCTTTTGTAGCCTCCTTTTTTATTTATTTTGTATTTGTTTGTTTTTTTTGTAGTCTTTTTATTTTTCATTTTGCAGCCTCGTTTTTTTATTGTTGTTTAGTAGTTGTATCAAAATTCCATATCAAGGTCATTTTTTTTATCCAATCAAATGTGTTATTCTTTTATTTTTATAAATATATTTTGCTAAAATTAATAAGAAAATCACAAGAAAAAAGAGAAAAATATATTTAAGCAAAGCTTGTTGTTTTTTAATGTTTCTAATGTGAAATTTTGTGCTTTAAATACTTTCAAATTTTGAGTTTAACGCATTTTAATTTTTTCTATATTACATAACTGAAAAATTTTATATACTTAATGTGGCTTTGTGTTGTCTAATTTTCTAGGCTATATACTTTATAAGGCTTGATGTCATATATTTTTGTAAGCTATATACTTTATGTGGCTGTTTTGTGTTTCTTCATAAACCTTAGTTTTACATATATACAAAATCCCTCCCAAAAAGGATGCAGGCACCAACCATTTAAAGAAGATGCAGGCACGCACCATTTAAAAAGGATTAAGACACCCACCATTTAAAAGTTACTAATAAAGTAAAGGATATTAAAAAGTTTAAAGTTTTAAAACAATTTAAATTTTAGAAATAAAACAAACAATATGAAAAACTTTACATTTGGATATTAAAATAATTTATAAATTTTAACATAATAGAAAATTTTGTTTTAATATTGTGACAGCAACCATTTAAAAAATCTTTTTGATTTGAAACAGAAAAAGTAAAAAATATTGAAAGTTTATTGTTTACCAGTTGATCAGCAAGTAATAGAACAGTTTTTATACTAAACTTGCGGTTACAAAAGTTGAATAAATCCTCTAAACTAGGTCCAAGAAGTTCCATTACAAGGACATTATAATCACCTTCAGTTCCACACCATTTGATTGAAGGTATGCCGACTAAACAATGCAAAACAATATATTAAAATAATTATATATAAGTGCTAATATAATGTATTAATTTGCTTTTATTTTTAATATATATATTATGTATGTATATACAAACATACTCAGGAGACAAAGTTTTAAATTTATTTAATCCAAGCTAAATTACTTTGAAACTTAACTATTTAAAACTTTGAAATTTTGATATTTTCTAATGTATCTTAAGAAAATAAAAGATAAAAAAAAATAATTCATTATTAGGACTTGTGGTCAAATTGTAAAAATGGTCATATAAGACGTGCGACCACACCTATTTCCTGAGAAGACTTGATATATATATATATATATATATATATATATATATATATATATATATATATATATATATATATATATATTTATACAACCTTGAGGCAATTTCTTAATATAAGAAATTATGAAGAAAAATCCCTCAGCCATTGTAGCAGCAACTCCATTGCATGTTTAAACTAGTCAATGTATGTATGTTTAAGTCCCTACAGCTAAATTTAACATCATAAAAGCTGCATATATATATATATATATATATATATATATATATATATATATATATATATATATATATATATATATATATATATAAATAGCCTTCCCGGGAAGCTAAGTTTATTTACTAAGAAGAAAAAAAACAATTCTTAAATAAGGAAAAAAAATTGGAACAAAATATCAAGTTTAATTAAATAAACTAGAAAACTTAATAATTAAAAAAAGTAAATAAATTTTTTTTTTTGTTTCTAAAATTTTTATGCAACTTTTGTATTCTTTTTTTTTTGAGTTGAAAAAAACATCTTTTATAATGATTTAACAACAATTAAAAGTTTTGAAATGCAATTCACGATTTTTATTAGTCCATATAATTGAGAAACTAATTTGCTATGTAAGCTAAAACATATAAGAAACTTTGTTAATTTTTTTTCTTACGTTCATTCATTTATTATGCTTATTTGTTTATATAGGTTAATTCGTTTTTACATCTTACGGCTTTTAAAAAAAGTTTTTGCATTTTTTCTTAATACTTATATAATAGGAAAATAAAAAAATAAATTGTTATTTATTTGTAATAAATATTATTTGATTAATAAATTTTGTTAATGGCAGAATAAGTTCAATAAAAGAATAACATAGTTTCTTTAATAAATGTATTTACCGCATTTGATGCATGTATGAAATTGTTTCTTTTATATTGCTCAATTTCTAATGTTAATACAAATTTTAGAAATAATACAAACTGTTAATACAAATCATTTTAAGTCTCTATCTTTATAAAATATCTTTAAATTAAACAATATTGTTATAAAAAAAATTATCAATAAAATTTATTATTGTTTGAAAAAACAAAATATTTCATCTTTTGGAAAAACTTATACTTATTTTAAACTTATACTATTTCTTAAAATATCCATCTTAAGTTTACTTTCTCATAATTTAGTTGGTTTTTTTTCTAAAATGAGGGGGCAATTGTTTAAGGTTGAATTTTTTAACGGTAAAGAAAAAAAAAAAAAAACTACTAACATTTTTTTTTTAATATTTTGACTTTAACAAAATCTTTGCGCACTACTCATAAACTACTACTCATAAGCCATTTCTAATTGACATTCATTCTATGATCAATCTAAAAAACTAATGATAAAGAAAAATTTTTTGGTAAAAAGCTATTTCAAAACTAAAAATATCATTTATAAATTTGTTATATAAAAAAATTTAACAAATAAATTTTGCCTACAGGCTTGATTATGGTTTATCTGACAATGCATTATACACAGTTGTAAGTGCATTAAGCACTTTTGTATATTAGCATACAAAAACGGAATAAAAAAATTTATTTATTTGAAATTATAAATAACTAAACAAAATATTACATGTAACAAATAGTATGAATATAAAACGAACATCTAAAAGTAATTTGAATTGAATTTATTTTAATGAATGTTTTTTTCTTTAACCATAGTTTGGAAATTTCGGCAGTAAAAAAAATTGTAAAATGTAACATTTTGAATTTTTTTTTTTTAATTTAAAATAAATTTTAATTCTGTTGACCAGCCTTGAACCTCTTCTTCATCTATTACACTGGTATACAGTATCGGACAAAACAAGTGCAACCAAATAATGCTAATTTAGTTTCTTTATATAAAAGTGCTGCATTTTTTCAATTTAGAGAAATAACTATGTAACTGTTTAGAGACTACTTTCTTCAAGTTTTATTCATCACAAAGTTTATTATTTGTACACGAAAATTAATAAATTAATCAAAAGTATTAAAAAAAGTTGATTTCCTTCTGGACAAAACAAGCGCAACTCCAAAAATGTTGACCAAGCTGTATTTTGCTATCAATATTTCGTGGCAAATCCTTTGTTGTCGATGACAGCCTTGCATCTTTGAGGCTTAGATTCGATCAGGTGATCAATAAAACTTTATGGAATCGTTGCCCAGGACTTTTGGATTTGTTCAAACAGTTGATCCTTATTACGAACACTTTTACAATTAATTCTGCGGTTCACGATTTCCCACAGGTTCTCAATAAGGTTGAGATCCGGAGATTGAGACGGCCAATCCATCACAGATAGGTGTTTGTCTTGAAACCACTGCTTGACTACTTTTGCAGTGTGTTTTGAATCGTTGTCTTGCTGAAAAACCCATTTTATTGGCATATTCCATTTAGCATGAGGTAACATAACACCTTTCAGGATATTTTTATACATGAAATAGTCCATTATTCCATCGATTCGATGTATTGGACCTAAACCGTTAGCAGAAAAACACCCCCAGACCATTACATTGCCTCCACCATGCTTCAACATAGTCTTGATACGGTCCATTTTTTCAGGCGATATTTATCACAAATACTTTTTTGTGACATTCCACTTACGTAAATGCCAATAATTTTCTTTCGTAGTTCCAACCCAAGACTGTCGGGAGCCATATTTGCACTTGAAGTCATAAAAATAATAAAAATAAAAAAGTCAAGCTTCTCAAGGATTGCCGTGTTACATGTACCTTATGATGATACAATAATGTTCTGTGGAACACAACGTCTTGGCTGAATGTGGACTGTATTGATGTAATGAAATACTTGTTGTATTTCACTTGTCGTATTGATGTTCTTCGATAAAACACATTATGATAAAACTCACTTCGATAAACTGTTTTGATAAAACTGACTTATTGACTTCCATATACTGACTGAATTACATGTCGGTTTAAATGTCTCTTATATAGTAAAATGAACCTGTATGAACCTGCTCTGGAAGATTCTAGATGTTTCTTTTAGATGCTTCTGGAAGCTTCTGGAAGCCTTGTTGGGAGTGAATTAAAATTTAAAAAAAAAATTTAAATTTAATAATATTTTTAATAATAAATTTAATTTGAATATAATAAAATAAATTTAAATTAAAATTTTAAAAAAACAGAAAATTCATTTTACTGTTTTGTTTTATCTAAAAAAAAATTATTTCATAAATGCAGTAAAAATGTTTTTTACAACAATTAACGTTTTCCCCATAAACTAATTTGAAAGAATGTTTAAATAAATCTAATTTTAAAAAGTTTTGGTACAACATAACAGGGTGGCCAGAGAATTTTTGATATCATTTTCCATGACTTTTCCCTGACTAAAATTAAATTTCCCTGGCTTACTAATGTAAATTTAACAAATATAGCAATAAAAAGACAACAAATAAAACTCACACAACATTGCCCAAATATTAGAATTTCTCTTAAAAACTGTTTAACTTAAATTAATAAACATTTTCAAACAAAAAAAATAAAATAAAATATGAAGTAAAAAAATAAATTTATTTTTAGTTTTTATTAAGCAATATATATAAATATATATATATATATATATATATATATATATATATATATATATATATATATATATATATATATATATATATATATATATATATATATATATATATATTAGATTAGTCTAGTCACATTTAAAGCTTTTTAAATATTTTTATAATATTTATAAATGAAGAAAAACACAAAAATAGGTTGAAAAGCAGTAAGCGAAGCAAGAGTGGTAAAAACAGATATGAAAAATGGCTCTATAATCAGAACAGAGAAATAGCAAGAAGATTAAAATTTTCAGAGAGTAGCATCAGAAATTTTTTACAAATAACTTAAATGACAGGCAGTATTTAACACCGTACAGAATCCAGAAGGTTAAAAAAATTAGAATGTTCAAAAACAGTCTAAAAAATGTCACATATTTTGTCAAATAAGAGCTGACCCAGGGTTAAGTTATTGTGAACATATCAAACAATTAAAATCATGAAAAAAGTCTTTCATCAAAACAAGTTAAGAACATTTTACTTAAGAAGAATATGGTGTTAATGGTGTTTATGCAGCTGTTAGAAAACCCATCCTGACAACCAGAGATCGACTCACATGATAAAGGTGGTGTAAGGAGAGACTGCAGGGCTCTAATTAAGTGCATTCGTTAAAAGTTAAGCGAAAAGTTGAAAAGGGAAAAAACAATATAGCAAATTTTTTTTCTTTTTTTTTTAACAAAACAGCCTGGTTTTTATCTTAGTTTGTGAAACATTGCAGCCAATTAACTTAGTATTAATAATTTAAATTATTATTTTATCAACAATTTTATATTATTAACTTTACTACTTTACTTAACTATATTAAAATATATATTAATTCTTAATTTTCTATTAGTTAATTAATGCTAATAGAAACGAGCAATCTTTTTGCTTTAATGGTTTTTCCGCTTAATGACCTTGAATTTTATAAAATTATATTTACTTTGTTTTACTGAATGGATAAATTACATCACAGTAAATTTACTTATAAATTAAATCAAAACAACCAGTTAAGATACAACAGCAACTTACAGTCACTCAAATATTAACTTATCAACTATATTCATTTACTTAATATACTCAAAGACTCGCTAAAGTTAGCCAAACAAATGTTTCTATATCTTATATGTTGTTAACACATAATATAAGCTTCAAAC